ACAATTATCTATGTTAACACTATGGGAAATGGAAATAAAAATGAATTATGCAAAACAAAAAAATTCTGAGTTTGCAAATAAACCAGGGAAGTGGTTGGCATGCAAATTATGAAAAGAAAAAGAAAAAAAATGATATTGAAATTACAAGATGGAGATACTATAATAACAGATAATGTGGCTATGCAAAAAGTATTTCATCAATATTATTCCAATTTATATAAAGGACAAGAAATGTCCCTGAAGAAAATAGATGAAAATAGATGAAGAAACAACATTTACTGAAGATTACAGAGAAACAGAAACGGATTATGAATGGATCCATAACAATAAAGGAAGTTTGCGAAGCTACTGTATAAAAAAGACTAAAACAGGAAAGGCGCCTGGACCAGAAGGCTTCTTACTGTAAATGCCTTGAGGATGAGCTTTTACAACCTTTACAAAATACAACTGATTCATTTTACAGAGGGGAAAGATGCCAGAGAGCTTGAAAGTGGCTAATGCAGCATTAATGCCTAAGGAGGAACAAGATTTGAATTTAACATGAAACTATTGGCCAATATCATTATTGAATAATGCCTATAAGTTGTTTACAATGATTTTGGCTGAGAGGTTGAAAATAATTTTGCAAGAATTTATTCATGAGGATCAATGTGGGTTTTTACCTAAAATACAGTTAAAGCATAATATAAGAAATATGTTGGACCTTTTGGAATACTTGGAACAACATAATGAAAAACAAGTCACATTGATTTTCTTAGATGCAGAGAAAGCCTTTGACAATTTGAATTGGGCCTTCCTGTTTAAAGTTTTGGAAAATATTAATTTTGGAGAGAATTTTATTGAATGGGTAAGATCAATCTATACTTCACAGAAAGCACAAATAATTGTCAGTGGAGATCTAACAAAACCCTGTGAGATACAAAAAGGGACAAGACAGGGATGCCCACTGTCTCCTCTCTTGTTTATTTTGGTTTTTGAAATACTGAATAGTGATGTAAGACAAGATGAGAGAATTGTGGGAGTAAAGATTAAAAAATAAACTTCTGAGTCAAGGGCATTTGCTGATGACTTGGCATTGATTCTGAAGGATCCACTAAAAGGAATAGAGACATTAATGGGAAAATTAAAAGAATTTGGTACAGTAGCAGGTTTTAAGATTGATAAACAGAAGACGAAGATGTTAACAAAAAATATAAAAATAGAGGTACCAAAAAAAATTGATTAAAAAAATGGGTTTTAAGATTGAGAAAAAAGTAAAATATCTGGGTATCACCATGACAAATATGAATTGTATGTTATTTCAAAATAATTATGTTAAGACATGGAATGAAGTTTAAAAAGATATGTTGAGATGGAAGAAATTACAAATGTCATTGTTGGGGGGAATTTCTGTGATAAAAATGAATTTTTTGCCACAATGATGTTTTCGTTTTGGACAGTAACTGTTTTGACAACTGATGAACCATTTAAACAGTGGCAAAGGGATATATCTAAGTTTGTATAGCAAGGGAAAAAAACACAGGTATAGGGTGCTACAAGATGCAAAGGAAAGAGGAGGACTGGTTTACCTGATTTGAAATTGTATTTTGCAGCTTGCTGTTTGGTTTGGATGAAAGAGTGGGTGTTGCTGAGAAATAGACTTTTCGAGTTAGAAGGACTTGACCTGAGATTTGGGTGGCGTGGGTATTTGTGGTATGATAAAGTTAAGGTTAATGTAGATTTTAAAAATCATTATGTTAGATGTGCCATATTGAGAACATGGAATGGATACAAATCCAAGTTGTTCCTGAAAATACCTTTGTGGCTCTCAGCACAAGAAGCATTTTATAGGTGACAAATAATAGGCAAACACAAAGGGTTAACATACCATGAGTTACTAGAATTCTATCAAGGGAATACAAAATAAAATCAAGAGAACAGCTGATGGCAGAGGGACATAATTGTCTATGGTTTTCCTATTTACAGTTTTCAGAAAGATTCGAAGTAGACAAAAGAATTTACGGTATTGTATATTCTACGACTGACTTTGAAACAGAATTGTGTACAAATGATGAACATGTGATTGCTAAAATGTATAAA